TTTTTTTTTTTTTTTTTTTTCCGGTATATGAGTGCCAAGTTATATGAATATTGATTATACTCAAACGTCCAGTTTGTTAACTATTATATTCGATATATTCTATATCCCGAGCTTGTAGCTATGATTGGTTGGCACATGGTTTGATACTTCGATCTTTGTAACTCGCAGTTTCATTGGAATTTTTATTTCCCGCCTAGTCCCCCTAGCTAGAACAAATGAAATGCAATATTGATATATTCTTAAATAATGCATTTAATCTCAATTTAAAGCATTTTAAAAATGCAAAACGTAGATAGTCGCGTAAATGTAAAAACTGAAAACATAACTTATTTTAAATAGATTAGATTCCTGGTTTGATAGGTTGAAGTTATCATTTGCGTCTTCTTCTTGTTTTTTTTTTTCTCTCTCTGCAGACACGGTATCAGAACAGGCCAATAGTCGAGTTTGAGATAGCAGCTCAAGAACAGATGAAGATAACCGAGCTACGTATCTCTAAGCTATTTTCAGCTGAAATAACTGATGGTCTCACCTCCAAAAACCCATACACTTCTACAAATGTGGTGACCAAAGCTGGAGGTTCTGTGTCCGATTGGCTTTTTCCATCTTTAGTGTTTGGTTTCTGCTGGTTCTTGTTTTACTTTATTTTGTCCTATGGGTTCCAACTTATTGAAACTAACGTGTTGGAGTATGATTTATAATGAAGTAAAAAAAAAGGGTTACTTTTTTAGTACAATATGAGTCTTATATCCTTTTCCCGGATTCTTTCTTTGAGCTGCAAAGTTCTATGTAAAACCGCTCGAAAAAATCAAGAAAATGGGTAGCTTTATCTCTGTTGATATGTTCCATCAGATGTTGTATTTAACGAATTCAATATTCTACATGAAACGAAAATTAGAAGGAAAAAAAAAAAAATAAATAACAGAAAGAACAAATAAAGAATGCCAGAGAAGGAGGAATATGTGACTGAATGAATGAAATGTCTGAATTCTTGGCAGAACCTCGTATCGAATAATTTCCATTAGATTTACCGTCTCGTGATTAAAATATGTTGTCGGTTTGTAAAAATCGTTACTTTGGTCTGAAATACTCTCTGTTTTGAACTGTAGAAGACCGCGTGAGCATCATAGGGGGACACCTGGCAGGCCCAAAGCCCGAAGCCCGAACTTCGACCCGAACCCGCCCGCCAATCACGACCCATATTCTCGATGTGGCCTGTGGGGCTCCAGCCTCGGGCATTGATGTCCGTCTCGAAATGTGGGGAGATCAGCTCACCCGCCCGTTTTTGGGTCAGAAAGAAACCGACTATTCGGGCTCTTGGAAGCCCGTGGGCGGTTCGACCACGGACAAAGATGGGCGAGCTGGTGTGTTGATGGACATTGTTGATGACTTGAGTCCGGGAGTCTACCGGATAAGTTTCGACACGGGAAAGTACAATCCGAATGGGTTTTTCCCGTACGTGTCGATTGTGTTTGAGGTTAGGGAAGGGCAGGCGAGGGAGCATTTTCACGTGCCGTTGCTGCTATCTCCGTTTTCTTTCTCGACTTATCGTGGGAGCTGATTTTTTCGGTCGGGTCCGGTAGGGTTTTTGGGGTTTTGTGTGATGAGAACTGAAAGATGGATAGTAATAATAATAATAATAATAATCTCTTTATCAACTTTTTTTTTGTGATGTTTGTAATGGAAAGCAAAGCTTTGTTTGCTGTGTCTTGAGACCTTTGTTAAGGTTTCTACTGTACACTCAAAGCTTATTGAGACAGGCTCATGGTGAAAATGGTGTTCTTGTTAGTAACTATGTGAATGATGTTTGTGCTCGATTTACTATTGTCACAAATTTGCATACTTTTCACTAAGTTATATCATATCTTATGTAAAACTATAGAAATCAGAAGTGTGACATTAAATAAAGTATAAAATAAATATGTATTTTTATATATAAAATATGACAAGAGATGTTAAAATAAACTAGCCGCTCGTAAGCTCGACTTGACTTGGCTCGCTAGGGGGGTTGAACTCGAAACTTATCTAAAGCTCGTTTAGTTAAGCGGCTCGATAAGACTCGTTAAGGTTCGAAAAGATGATTTTTATGTATTTTTCTATAATTCGGCTCAATTTTGGCTCGTTATGGTTCAAACTCGGCTCATTAATATTGATAAAATTGCCGAACTCGAGCTCGATTGTAAGCTCGTTAAGTTAATAAGTCGAGCCGAGCTGAGCCGAACTCGACTTGTTAAGGGATCGAGCTCAAGCAGCATGAACTCAAGCTCAGACTCAAATCATTTACACCCCTAAACATGACTGAGTTGTTTAAATGGTTAGACCATTTAATACTGGTTTTACAAATGGGTATTTTTTTTTTCTTGGACAATGATGGGCTCACTCCAACAAATAATATGATTTTTTTTTTTTTTTTTTT